TGTCACTTTATTTTTCTTTTACTCATTAAACGTAATAACGGTATGTATTTATAAACAGAACTTAACAAGGAGTTAATTACAAAATTAACTTAATTTTGTAATTAACTCCTTTTAAACGTAAATCTTCATCGTCATTCGGCCCCTCTGAGGGCACGCACATAAAAATACAATTGTAATTTTTGAGGATCAATTACTATTTTTTGATGATCATTTAAATATGTGCCCTTTTTAATTGCCTAGCATTAAGTTAGTCATTCCATGAAATACCAATAAAAATTGATCTAAAATAAACGAATTCGATATCAATCAAACTAATGTACCTATTTAATTTGGGGTACTCGTTATATTTATTATGAATTTATGTCGATATAATACTGACCATTATGTTATGTATTTTTTTCTATTGTCAATAATAATTTTATGTTATGTATTAATAATGTAAATCGAGAGTCCAGAACATGTACAATATAATATTCTTTGTGATGAACAATTACCTTTATGTATTTAATTATCATGTAGATATATTTTAATGTAGAATAATAGTATATTTAGGATTCTCCTATTAATATCAAATGTAAATATGTAATCTTATTATACAAGTCGCTTCTATACGCTGTATTTAAAAAAATCGTCCATGACAATATGATATCAAAATATTTGTTTTTTTATAAGACGAACAATTACTGAATATGTAGGTTTATTGAACAAATTTCTATTGTATATATGTTTCATTGTATTGTATACCTATACTTAACAGAAAGGTGCAATTAATTAACTGCAGAGCTCCTCGGGTTAGGGGTTGGAGTCAGGGTAGAAACCGCGAGAGTAGTATAGGCAACCTTCTTGAGCTAATTACAGATGAATTAGCCATTCGCCGTAGCAATAGCAATTTTACATACAAATCGTTAACTGTGTTTTTTGTCTACTGTGATTTAGTTTAGCTCAAGAAGTATGCCGTTACCTATACTCTGGTATAGCGAGGCTGTTTATAGGCTGGTTGTGGTCGTTTACCATCAAAAATCACCATAAAAATACAAATAGGTATATTTCAAAAATCTATTAAAATGTTTGAATTTTACTTCGAATTTACTATTATATAAAAAAATACAAATTGATCTGAATTTAATTTTGTAGGAAGCATGTTAACGAAAACGAAATCGCTTTATGCCCCATTTTACTTTAAGATTATGAAAATATCTAAACTTAGTGGACCAAAATATGTTATACCAAATTAAGTTTTAAATTGGAGTGTCAAACTGTGTAGAATATTTCTTCCTGTCCACATTCGATAAGAAGAGGCTCTTTTGATATGAAGCTGAAACTAGCAGACACATCCAGCGAGTCTGCCACAAAACCGACGTTTAACGTATTTCTGGCAACTGTTTTGGTTATTCTTATTGTTAAGGAAAGTAATCAAGTGGTTATCACGAGGATACCTAACCCTATTTTCAAGTATAACTAATGTGAACTTCTTTACTTTTCAAATAAATTGTAAAACCAAAATAGTGGCCAGGAATACGTTTCCATTGCAATATTACAAGTTTCCACGTAAAAAATCGCTTGAATCGTCGTATTTCGCAAAATTCATATTAGCTATAGGGAAAGGAAGTTTATTTATTTAAGTTCAAAGCGGGTAAGCTAAGGTTGGTGATAAAAAAAACCAAACGTCAACCAAAATCAAACTAAGTTATATATTTGCATTTTTAATTCTTTTTACTACTTTAAACAGTGTTGCCAACTCTACGTATTTTTACGTATATCTACGTATTTTAGGCCTCTTCCGGAAACCTACTAACTTCAGTCCCAGAATCTACGTATTTTCTTAATTTTTTTCAAATTTGTAAAATAACTTAATGCACTAGAACAAAGAAGAATATTTTCCGTTACTTTACTTAAAAACTATACAAATGTTTATTTCTTATAAAGATGTATCTTACACTCTCGTATCTTGTAGAAAAGGTTCCCGTTATTGGTTTTGTTGACTAAATTAATGCTGGACGCAGGATTTGTGAAAGCAGAAACGACAAAACTCTTTGACTTAGTAGGTACATTCATAACATTAAAAATTATATTTTTAAACTTTTAATATTATCAATGAGTACCTACTCACATCGAATTGATCTTTGCAAAAAGAAATGACTTTCAGTCGATAAAGTTACAGGATTTAGCAAGTTTTAAACATATGTTCATGTGTAAGTATGTTTATTTCTCTTGGCAATTATAACCACAACTTTTCTGGTCTTTTACCAAGTGTATCATGATAACTACTATATTTTTCATGTGATCTATTAGAAATCATGGTTTTGTAATATTAACTTAGAAAGTTTATTTCCTACGTGCTTGCAAGTGTTTGTTTTCAAATGTTTTGACGTCATAGCATAGATAAGTCTATAGACTAAATAGCGTTTTTGTATAATACATTTTTTTTCGATCTGATAGAACGATTATTAACAATTTAAAACTTAATTCCAAAAAGTGTCAACTAGCCCATTTAAAAACAGATTATTCTTGTCATTCTGTATACAGAATGAAAAGGAGAGACTGATGTTAAATTTAGTTTTAAATTAAGAGAACCATCCAGAATCGACACCCACCAGTGTCTGTGTCTGATGGTAAATGTCTACCACAGCATGGTAAATGCTTCCAATGCAGCGACTTCTCCAAGAACACTTTGTTCTATCTCCCGTTCTTAAACAAATTGTATAACAAAATACTCATTTTATTCGGTTTCACCTAACTTCTTCATTTCACTCAGAAAAAAGTACGTAGATCTACGTACTTTTCATATCCAAAATTTACAAATTCTACGTAATTTTCTCATCGGGCCTACGCCTTTTTCAAAATCCGAGTTGGCAACACTGACTTTAAATACTTTATTACTAGCATTGACTTTTAATAATTCGATTTTTAAGTAATCAATATGTAAGAAAAACTAAACTACAGGTACAGAACATTTTCGAGAAATCAGAACAAATCAACAGCGATATTTTTTGTGAAAATACCAAAAAAAGTTTTATTGTCTTTTACTTTGAAACTGCACGTGCCACGGGAACACGATGACTGCGTCTGATTGGTCGGCCGTCGGGCTTTCTAGTTCATTCAAACGTTGCCGTATACCATTGCAGGTGCATACATTGAGAGGCTTTTAAAAATAGCATTAGGTATCCTCGTGAAAACAACTCGATTACTTTATTTTACTTTTATATAAATAAGTAAATCCAAAATAGTTGCCAGAAATACGTTTACCGTCTGTTTTGTGACATCTCGCTGTTGGATGTGTCTGCTAGTTTCAGCTTCATTCTTATAATTGGAAAACAAACTAAGTTATAATGAATTCCTAAAATAAGCTCAACAATTACCTACGTGTTTATTATGTTATGTATTGTTGTCTTTTGTATGGATATTTATTATGGTTATATGAATTTTTTATTAATTTTTAAGGGACCATTTTCTGGCGTCTGCTATCTTTGCGTTTACATAATATTTAAAATCATGCCCCAACTTTAAGAGGCCATATAAAGATCCTTGCCATTTATTCTCGTTATTTCTTTGTATTTTCAATCGATATTAATATTTTATATTTAGATCCAATAAAATGATTTTACATAACGTCATTTTAGTTTTTATTCAAAATCATTATTTTTAGTTTATAAGGAATACATGTAAAAACGGTACCAGATTTGTGATGCAAAGAAGCAGTTATTTTCCATAGTGTTTAGTCCGCGTTTTGGAATAAGGTGGTATGAGTTATTACTAATGATTGGTAAGGTACCTACTAACGATGTAACTAAGTGTATAATTTAATGGATAATGTTAATAATAAAACAAAAGAAGTCTAGACGAAACAAAGCTCCCTGGCACCTTCAGCAGCATATTTATATTATATAAACAAAGCAATAGTTACAGCAACTGTTCTACAATGATCTTACGGAAAGTTCCGTTCCATATCTCCCTCCGAAGTCCATATTTTTTTAATGGGACCTCGAGAGTATACCCTGGCGAAAGAATTTTGAAAATGGGCCCTAAATTGATGGACAATCCTATAGCAAATATAAAAAAAAACAGTCGAATTGTGAACCACTTCCTTTCTGAAGTCAGTTTATTCATAAACACGAAATCACTTGAAAGAAAAATGAGACATATTTTTGAAAAAGACTAGCGCTGAGATCCTAAAAATAAAGACCAAATTTTGAAAAAAAAACTGACTTTTACTAACTGCCTTCAAAAAATTTACTTACTAACTTGTTTCCACCCCTTCAAGTTGAAAGTTTATAGTAGCTATCTATGTAAATACCTAAAACCATGAACTATTTAAGGTATTACTTTGTATTATTAATATTTTGGATACGTTAATTGTTAACGACACAAATAATACCATTTTTATGTGTTGAAGTCGAATAACTAACCGTTTTTTTACAATTATACACTACACACAGTAACTTATCTTCGGAATACAAACCTGAATATACAACCTTTGTAGTGAGGTTTAAGGTTGACAATAATTATAAAAGCAACCATTGGATTATGTAGACGTATATACCGCCTATAATGGGCAGGAATTCAGTAGGCAATGAACAGCTATAATAACACAACTGAGGCTGTGCTTAAGTTGTTATCGCTTAAAACCAATTACTTAGCTAATGTCAATACTTCAATTTTATCATCAAGCTTTATATGAAACTAGCTGACTCGATGAACTTAATAATTTGCCATAAAAAAAATATTGCGATTATAAATTGAGATCCTATCTTTCAAGTTGGACCAAGTGTGCAAATTTGATTAAAATCGGTTAAGTAGTTTAGGAGTCGCGTGACAACGTGACGCGTAATTTATATAAGTATATTAAGATTAGATACATATAGATGTAAGACAGTTCCTACAGCGACATAACTTCCAACTTTCCTAATTTGGTAGTAAGATTAATAATTGAAAGTACAGTTATTACTTGCTAGATTTATTAAATTAAATATATAGAGCTATACATAGGTAACAACTGAAATTTAGTAATTCTTCTCCCACTCTTCGCGTTCTTTTCGCTCTTTCTTGACCTGATCAACAATAGGAGATAGATACAGTTTGTCCTCTTCGTACTTCGTCCACTCCTCTTTGGGGAGAATGGACTTTTGAAGGGATAGCTGGATGGCACGCACCAAACGGAAGTTGCGCTCATCTATAACATGGTCGGGCAGACGACGTAGGGCTTCTTTGACATCCTCATTCTCATACAGACAGTCATCTCGCATCAGTCCTGTAAAATAAGGTGATATTATCATTTAACTAATAATTTATTTACAAATATGGATTCAATCTCAAATCAAATAAAAGATGGAGGAAAGATGGAACGCTGCGAACAACAATGCGGCACCGGTTAAAACCGTGTACGTACGTACACAGATACACATAGGTACAACGAAACCAAGCTCTAATTTGTCAGTCCAGCAAAGGCGACGCGTTGAGCAAAACATTATAAAAAATAGAAAACTTGAAGTAAATATGCCGAAGTGTGTCGAAAAAAGATGTAGAAGTTAAACTCTAAGATATAAAATGTAGGATACAATTACATTTCACATGCAAGTTAACTTGGAAACCAATACTTTTAATAAATCAAAATAAAATTGAGGAGAGGTTGCTATTAAAATGCATTATTCTTTATCCCTATTGTTGGGTAATGTGAAGCACTTCGCGATAAAAAAATTGAATACAACCTTATTTAGACGAACGTTTGCGCAGTAGACATTTTGTATTCAATATTGCTTCTGTACGTGTAGTTGTGTACGTAGTATCATTTCAACAGACTGAAATTCAGAGCTAGATAGTTTTCCATGGGCAGCCTATCTAGTCAGCTGTACTCTACTAGGCTAAAAATCCCAACGCTTACGGTATACTACACTGTAGATATCCCTGGCGGCAACAAAGCCTTTAGGCGATTAGTATGGCTCTCGTACAAATCTAACAAAAACATAAGGCGGCGTGGGCGAAGTTGGAATCACAAAAGAGCATCTGAGAGTGCTAATATTAAAGAGGGGGAAAGCTTATCGCATCCGTCATCCCAAGTCAGAACGCCAAGAACCCGGAGCAGAAGTGAGGTGTGATTTAAAAAATCTAAAGAAAAATCTGAATTCTGAGCCTTGTAAAAGTTTGTTTCTAGAGTTATTACAAATCGCCTCACCCGCAGGTTTGATATACCTACTATATTTGACTTCAAAATGAGCTTAATTCCGAAAAGGCTCAAAGGATGCAGCAGGCTATACCTGCTGCAATCAGAGGATTTTTTTTAACCAGCAATTTTACTAGTAGTTTGAAGACTATGTCAAAGCCCACGGTTTCTATCGAGATTGAGGTAGTTTTGCTAATCACTATTAAATCTACTCTGCATTTACTTTGTAGTGGTTTTGAAAATATTTTTTGGCATTAAATTGAGTTCGGCGTTTCCACACAGAGCGAGCGAGGCAGCTCGGTTAAGATGCGATCCGACGGCCTGTGTTGTCGCGGGCGCCGTGCAGGGTTACCAAACGTATGAGAACTCTTTCTTACGTTTGAGATTTAGCAGTCTCTTTACATGATACGAGGTAAATAGAAATCTCGTACATTTGATGAGATTTAAACAATGTTGACAAACCAAAAATATTATCAGTAAGTAAATAAATGACCAGTCCACAAAGGATCGATTCAGTAACTACAGCTTCATTAAGCCATCATAAAGTGTACGACATTTCTATTACCTCGTATCATGTATAGATACTGCTAAATCTGAAAGGTAAGAGTTCTCATACGTTAGCGACTCTGCGCGGCGCGGCCGAGCCCGTGAAACAACAGGCCTTCAATACTTAGAACGTACCTCGGCCGAGGCAAGCGCGCGCGCTGCGGCGGGCGAGCGACCGAGCCATTAATGTGTCGGCTTTTTGTTTTGCTCAAAAGCGCCTCGCCTCAGTCATTTCATTTGCCGCTCGTAATTTTGTTTCGTGCCTCGCTCGAGCATAATAATTAAACATCAGTGTTTGAAGTTAATATCTCTAGTCCAGTCATTTAAGCTTAAATTAGGTAAGAATCCCGGAATTCGAGATACCCAGCTGTAAGTCTGTAAATACTTGTATATTGACACCCTAAAAGTTGTCTCAAAACCTACATATGGTAGGGTGTACGCAACTATTAAATTTCAAGGTCAAAGGTCACAAATATCGGTTTTTCGCGTTTTTTTTGTAAATATCTCATTTCCTATGGATTTTTTGCTATTTGTATTTATTATCAATATTGTAGAATACAAAATTCTCTGCAAATTTTGTTTAAAAAAATTTTTCATACGGTGAACCGTTTTCGAGATAGAGGGCGGAGAGCGCGCGGTCACAGCATCACTTCAGGTCAACCGGTGCCTCCGGTCAAAAACGCGCCATATATAGTTGATGAACTATCGATAAATCAATGATTATAAATATTTGTCAATTTTCATTAACTATTATATTATATTTTATCATTTTCTTCATGCCTTAAATCTATATCTATTCAATAATACTGATCACCGTTTCCTAAAATTAAAAAATAATTAAGGGAAAAACTTAAATCATAATATAATTATATTCCCATTAACACTAATGACATTAATGTGTATATTATCAAGTTCAAACTTATTTAGGTTAGGGCATGATTTGGAACCCCAGGTATGGGGTTGGGCAATGCGAAACGATTTTCTAGAGCCCATCATGACAATTTTACCACCTGCTCCAGAACATTTGCTAAATACAATTTTCTGCAACTGCAAGAGTGGTTGTGGTTCGCGATGTGGATGCAGGAAAGCGGGCTTGCAATGCTCTTTAGCTTGTGGTCAATGTAATGGGCAAGCTTGTCTCAATGCTCTACCATATCAGAGCGACATTAACGAAGATGGAACTTTTGACCCCGAAATCATGGAAGAACTTGAGACAAATGTCGTTGAAGACGATAATGAAGACCAGTTTGAAATTTACCAGCAACCGGAAGACGACGATGAAGAGGAAGAAGATGATTCAAATTATAAATTGTAGTTTTTGTACCCTTTATTCCCTTTTTTTTACTTTTAATAAAAATAAATGTATTGAATGATATTTTTTAATAAAAAGATAAATTCATAATTTATTTGTTTTTTTTATCATGTAAGAAGTTATTAATATTAATTAGGTTTAAATTCAAATATAATTCCTATATTTTCATTAACAATGCTGCAATTACATGGGCAGGTAAGTGTTGTTAAATAAATTAATACTGAATAAAAAGTGGATAGGTTAGGAAAAAATTATATAATATAATATAATAGTTAATAAAAATGACAAATATTTGATGATTATCATTGATTTATCGATAGTTCATCAACTGTATATGGCGCGTTTTTGACCGGAGGCACCGGTTGACCTGAAGTGATGCTGTGACCGCGCGCTCTCCGCCCTCTATCTCGAAAACGGTTCACCGTATGAAAAATTTTTTCAAACAAAATTTGTAGAGAATTTTGTATTCTACAATATTGATAATAAATACAAATAGCAAAAAAACCCATAGGAAATGAGATATTTACAAAAAAAAGCGCCAAAAACCGATTTTTGTGACCTTTGACCTTGAAATTTAATAGTTGCGTACACCCTACCATATGTAGGTTTTGAGACAACTTTTAGGGTGTCAATATACAAGTATTTACAGACTTACAGCTGGGTATCTCGAATTCCGAGGTGAACTTACTATAATGACTGGACTATCTCTATGGTTGTCCTGATTTACAAATAGAGGACTTAGGGATTTTATAATCCCATTTCTATGGATAAAAGCAACAGCTGCTACCGCAACACACACAATGTGTGGTGCTATGATGTCATAATTCTCAACTGAATGAACAAACAAAATGGCTCGGGTATACTGCGCGCGGCAGCCTCGCGACGCTCCCGTGGCTGCCGCACTTGTTCAAAGACAGTTTCCTCGCGCGGCAAATGCCTTGTGAGGCTGCTTGCTGGTGATTGCAAATGCAACTGACACCAATGGTTTAAATAGCATTGTAAGCGCACAAGAGCTTAAAATGAAATCTTGGTCACCTATCCTATAATAGGCCATTGCAAAAGTTGCATAACTTCCACAATCACAGACCAACCATGGTAATTCACTGAGCCATCACAGTCCTTTTGCATGATTTATTTTTAATTATTAATATTTAAGTACTTTTTAATAATAAATGCCTTTCTGGTATGTTGATGATTCTGGTCTTCTCTGCAAGTTATTATGTAAAATAAAAAAAAACATTTATAAAATAAATGTGTTGAGTGAGTACCACCCATATAAATCAAAACAGATACTGAAAATGTATTTCACATGCATGCCAAAAATAGACCAAAGGGAGTGCATTGTGCAAAGCTCTTCCTTTAACGCTATTTTATTTCTTTTTTTTAGCCTTATTAATGCTAGATGTTGATCATAATTTTTTTAAATGTCTAATTAAGCTTATTTCAATTCTTTTTTATTACAGCATATGCAAAACAAGACAATTGAAATGGGTGGCAGCTATCCATGCTTTTCCAACACTTGAATTTGTTTTTAATTAAAATATCAAGCTCTGCTCATGCTTTCCTACAATTTTAAGCACATACATCATGTGCTTAAATCCAAGTCTATAGTGAGAACTTAACCTAACCCATTCTTCACTTTGTGAATGATGTAATCTTATGGCCATGTGCCTTTCGGAGACCAGGTTTTAAATATTGAATGGCTAGGACTAACTTATTAGAAATGCAATGTACCCACACCAGTTAATATTGGAAATACTTAAAAGTTAAGCACAACATAAATCTGAGAAAGGACAGCAGAAACCAAATAAGATAGACCAACTTCAAGAAACGGAGAGGTATCTCATCAAATCTAAAGTTGTAACATGTACCCAAGTAGTTCTAGAGCCAATTTCTTTGAGACTTTTGATTTTTTTATACTTAAAGGGACTAGGCGCATAGTAAAGGTTTCTTTACAGCTGATGCTTCATAGACTTCTGATTCCTTTCCAGTGCTTTGGGCAATAGTAGTAACAATCAGCCTTTTTTTTGACATTTAGGTTAATGCATAGGATTACTTTTAAGACCTATTTAATAGTATTCTAAGTTTCAATAAAGTTCTACGTACCATATTTATTAAACCCAGCCATGTTATATGCCCATTTCTTCATACTGTTACCTAAAAAAAATAGTAAATAAAATATTATATAATAGGAATAAGTACAAATGAATATTTGTTACGAAATGAACACAAACAACTAGATAACAACTTACACAAAACAGCAGTAGTCCTTAGAGCCATTTTTTTATTATATTATTGTAAGAAACAACTAAAATTGCCAAAACTAGATGTTAAAAATCTATTCAAGAGACAAGTGTCGAACCAGAAATGAAATGTCAAATTTAGCTTTTAGTGATGTGCTTTTTAAATCGACTCAAGTTCAGTCGAGAATAAAGCAACGACCGGTACGTATTACCCTTATAAGCGTATTTGATAGGGTTTTTAATAGAGTAGTGTTCAAACACTACTAATACCAGGTTTTCAAAAACCCTATCAAATAGGTAACCTTATCATTGACTTTTCCCAATGTTATGGTTACCAAATAGATACAGTTAATACAGGTAAGCACTTAGCGTTACAAAAAAACCCCATCAATAGTATATGGTTTTAGATGCGGTCAAACTATATTCTTTTCTATGCAAAGGTTCTCCGGCTTATTATAACATTGTATGTATGTATGAATGTATAGTGCGATTCAAATAAGAATAGGAAAGCCAATGACCTCCATCTGTCAAATGTCGCTTGAAAAGTACGGTTTGCAAAAAAATCTTGGAACCCTTTTTTAGCACTCAGCTAATTCTAGAATAAAAACCAAAAATTTCTAAGCAAACAATAATAAATATTGTTTGATATATTTTTTTCATTTATTGAGTTTTGGTTATTACTGGTTGATAACCTAAATCGTCAACCAAATGTCACTTTAAGTTGCGGTCATAAACTCGATTTAAAACTTTCGTTTACATAAAGGATGCATGTTCGTATTTGACCTAGTAATAGTGCATGATTATTCATAACTACTCCGGCGGTAATGCAGAGATGAGCGGAATAAGGAAGATGCACATATAATATTTATGAAAATTTTATGATTAAAATGTTAAAGAAATATAAAAGAAATGCCACTGCAACGTTTTTATTTTACATAATGTTGTTTTTTAACAATTATTACGAATTAAAAATACTTGAAACGGAACGTATTTTAAAACACCAATCAGCGTTTAGTGACGTCACTCCTGTAATGACAACTTCTTTGAGGTTATGGTTGTTAAAGTAAATATTATTTTATGGGAAAATTTATTGCGTTTTTTTACATTTAATAAAAATGGAAGTTGCGTTTATCAAAGCAGACTCCAGGAATTTACCAAGAGTTAGCGTTGACATGGTTATAACTTTTTTTGTCCAAAGTGCAGAGTTTTTAATCATTATGTTTCAAATAGGTATACACCAGCACAGACAGAATAATAGTGTTACAATTAAATAAATCAAATACGATCAAGCGAAAAGCACAATAAACAATCAATCATAGTATTATAGTGGTCGCTAAATAAATAAATTTGAAACAACAAAGCGCAAAATAAACACAGTCACAGATTGGAAAGAATTTGAATGTGTCAGTTACTTACTGTCCTAATTCTATGGCGCTATCTATTCGTCTCAGGACACACTAGATTGCTTGTGTTTTCAATTATATCAACGCAATTAAATGTTTTAGAAGGCTTACTTTGATTCAACTATAAGGCTTTGCCATCAATATGAGGCATTTATCCAAATTTTTAAAGGTATCGATACTTGCCTAAATGTACTCATTTAGTAAAAGTATCGAATACAAAGTATCGAGTACAAAAGTATCAGTATCGAAAGGAAAAGTACTCGATACCACAAAGTATCGATACTTTTTTCGTGTCCCTAGGTGTTTTGTGTTCAATTGTGTTACAATTACTGGATTTACAATAAGTGTAATAATTGTGAAATAAACTGTTAAAATGACTCAAAAGCCTTGTACTTATGTTCGTGGTGCAATTTCTGCTGTATATGGATGCAAGAATTATAAATTTTAGAGAGATTCTGGGTCATTATACGAAATGGCCTTTATTAAAGACCATTTTTTGGGTTTCAAACATTTATTTTTTGCAAAATATAATCAAATACCTAAAATATAATCAATTTTGCAAAAATATAATCACAACAGAAAACAGAATTTTCATTACGTTTAATACGTAAAAACATGAAAAAATATTTTTTAAGTCTCACAGAATTGACGCACGTTTTCACTGAAACGATCTAAGTGATCATAACTTAAGAATTAATATAGTTATGATAATAATAAATGTTCTACCGAAAACCATTAAACCAAGATAACATAAATTATGAAACATTATTTTGATCAATATTTTTAAAAGACAATAAAAAAATCAACCATTCATGTCCACGGAAATGATATTTAGTAGAAACGTCATTTCTGTGATACTAAATTATAAGAATCACTGATGTCATCATATGATAAAAATGTGCGAACTCTCTTATTATAATGTTCTGGGTATATTCAACAGCCAAAAAATTTACCCTGTTTTGTCTCAGAGGCCTAATTTTGTTTTACCTATCAGAATAAATTTCATCGACACGTAATTTAGAGCATGATGGTATAGGGGGCTCATTTTCTGAGTTGCATGTAATTATTGTATTGGTGATTACATTTATTCCAACCTAAAATGACGACAAGTGATGTCTGAATGACATTCCAAACAACTCAGTCGCCTGGCTTGAAGATAATCTGGGTTTTCTTTTGCCCAAACAATTTGATGAACTTTCATCATGCCTTGATAGGTTTTGTAAAGCTATTCTGAAAAAGAAGATGTTCTTTATTGGCCTAATAATACAAATATCATTTATTGGCATTAACCTAACCAAGAGGTAATTTTTTTTCCAAAAGTTATTTTCCATTTTTTTCAAAAAATAATATCAAAGTTTGGTGGTCTGGAATGTCATTCCCCAAAACCACTCGTCGATCATTATGTCTTTTTAAGTAGCCACCTACACCGTCTGGCGTCCTTTTCCATGACCAGACTCTGAATAATGCCATACAAAAGTGTTTGTATTAAACACCGAAAAAATACAAATTCTGTGAACAACAAGTTCACAGTAATGACGATCACGGGATTGACGAATAATTTTTAAAATGATGCTCGTGGTTTTCAAAGTTACATATTAATTTATAACTACAACCAAAATAAGTCCCCATGGCATTAATTATGAGCTATGGTGGCAAAGTAAATCCGTTACTACATACCAAAAAAATCCCTAACCGAATTGACGGGTCAAACTTTACCAGAAACGTATATTACATATATTTTTTAAACAAAACTTCACAGTACATAACCTCCTTGTTGGTTAGCACACACAACTGAACTAACAGCAAAAAGCAGTGTAACCAGGTAATAAAAGCAGTAATTCAGGTCTCAAATTTTTTTTGTTGGGTGAAAATAGTAGTTCACGGTATTGATTTCAATTTTTATAACACCTGTATAATGGCTATAAATTTTAATATATTAATAAGAAAAAATAAACTGCTATGTTCTGATGTTTATTGGGATGTGTGAAAACAGATACTGTGAGTTCTTTTTAATTCAAGTGTGTAATATAACTTTTTTCCCAGCTTTTCTGACGAAAAATGTGTTTCGAACAGTTCACGGAGTATGACCACGCTTGTTTTGATTTTTTTTACAAATTAGTAGATAAGGTATGGTTGAATTTGTTATGTTTTTGGTAAATAGTCACAATAATGTACTAAATAGATTTTTTCAGCTTTTGAAATATAAATAGTTAAACATCACCAATGAACAGTTTTTTTTGTACTTCATAGAGAGGTTAGTTTTATTTACGATTGATTTCTGCTTTTAAAGGCATATTGTGTATTTTTGTTTCAAAATTATGTAAAATCGCTATGTTTAATTGATTTTCAGATTGAAAAAATGGATCGTAGCCTGTAAACGAAGCGATTTAGATTCTTTATTAAAAGTAAAAGATACTGACTATTTTAATAAGAGTTATGTAGTTTGTTCAGATCATTTGGTACTTAATTCCATTATATGTAATTGAATTTCGGGGTAATTTGTGGTCTTGAAAACTTACAATTATGTAATCAGGCAATGGCTTTTATGATTAAGGGTATTAATGTAGACTTTAAACAAGTAGTAGGTATTTTTTTGAGTAAGGACACTATGCCTGGTGATATATTACATAAGTTTTTTTTAGACATAATTGAGAGGATATTCGACACTGGTTATATTATCAAATCAATAATTTGTGATCTGGGTTCAAATAATGTGAAATTGAGAAAACTCCTTTCAGTTTCAATAACTAAACCCTATATTGTTTATACAGGACATAAAATTTATTTATTTGCACCACCACATTTGCTTATATGTGTTAGAAATAACTTCAAAAATTACAATTTTCAATATAATGATACTGTAGCGTCATGGTACCATGTTGAAGATTTTTAAGATTGATTCTCAACAGATACCAAGAATGGTGCCTAAATTAAATAAGAAGTGTATTACTCTTCCTCCATTTAGTCCAATGAGAGTATGCTTGGTAGCCAGAGTATTTAGCCATTCAGTAAATGTTGGGATACTGTGTAATGTTTACAACATTAGATAATTTGCCAGCGAGTGCAACACATACAGCTGATTTTATAGAAAAAAATGATATCCTTTTTATATATTCAATTCATGTAAATATAAAGAGTGCAAAAAATATAGACGTCCAATATCCATTAATTCAGACCATATTAATAAATTAATTAAGTTGTGTGCCTTTTTGAAAGATTTAGTTGTTTTAAACAAGAAAAAAGTCAACCCCTTGTGTATCAATGGTTGGATTTCAAATATTGAAGCAATAAAAATGCTGTGGGATTTGAAATCCAATTATGATTTTAAATTTTTATTTACACGTAGACTTACACAAGACTGTATTGAAAATTTATTTCCAATAATTAGATATAAGGATGGCAATTACGTCACTCCTGACTGTACAAAGTTTAATTGTAGTTTGAGGTCCGTTATGGCAAATCCATTGGTACAGCCTTCGTCTGATAGCAACAGTGAAATTGATGCTTGTGAGTTCTTACTGCAAAAAGAGTTAATTTTAATTCTTATGTCAATAAAATTAATGATGCTAAAGAAAAAAAACACAATTAAGACCAACAGAAAATTAAAGAAAATTACTCATTCTTAATTTGACTGTTGTTTTATTTAGTTGAATTAATACCTATTAATACCTACTTAAAAGAATATCAGATATTATTAATAAAGAGTTTAAAGATAATATAGATAATTACATGAAAATGTCTGTAAATAATATTAAGGCTGGGTTATGTTCAAATGTAAATACAGAAGATTAAATTAATATGTAAGTGTAAGATTGTATAAGATTGTTTTTAGATAAGTATTTCAATATGTTCATAAATGCTTAAGTAAACAAAATTAATGACACAAAAAAATACAATTCAAACCGTCAGAAAATTACTCATTCATAATTTGCCTGTTGTTTTATTTAGTGAAGGAACTAGCAAACAAAATGATCAACTCATGCCAACAGATGGCGCTATTCAGAGGTTTGCCAAGTTGTTGTATGAAGCCCGTCACAGACGTAGCTATAATATATATTAATATAAATCATAGCAAGACATATTACAACATATTTTCAATATAAATTTTCGAGTGACCGTACACGCAGCTATAATATATATTTCTATGACGTCACCAAAATATGTCGACAGATATATTTTGGCATATTAGGTATATTTTGCCATATTAATATATATTTTGATATATTTTTATGATACGCGATTTTTTTTTTCGCCTGCCAAAATATATATTATAGTACAGCTCCCGTCTGTGGTAGTTTGTTTAATATAATATCTCGATATATTAATATATATTATAGCTACGTCTGTGACGAGATATATTTTGGCATATTAGTATATATTTTGAATACGGAATGTTCAACTTTTCTCTTAACGCCTGCCCGATCTCCGGCTCCAGTGCGCACGAGCATTTCTCCCCCACCCTCCCTCTCCTAAAATACTGTGCAAATTTATTGGATGACAAAACACGATACAAATTAAATTCACCACAAGTTTTGTTTTGTTTTATTTTTATGATACGCGATGTTCCATTTTTCACCGAACGCCTGCCAAAATATATATTATAGTACAGCTCCCGTCTGTGGTAGTTTGTTTAATATAATATCTCGATATATTAATATATATTATAGCTACGTCTGTGACGAGATATATTTTGGCATATTAGTATATATTTTGAATACGGAATGTTCAACTTTTCTCTTAACGCCTGCCCGATCTCCGGCTCAAGTGCGCACGAGCATTTCTCCCCCACCCTCCCTCTCCTAAAATACTGTGCAAATTTATTGGATGACAAAACACGATACAAATTAAATTCACCACAAGTTTTCTTTTGTTTTATATGCGACTCTACCCAGATGGTTATATTTTTCGTTCATGACCAGGCAACATGCATATCAAATTCAGCATCGGAATCATCCTATGAGGAACTTTCAATTAAATCTAAAAGTAGTGCTCTTGTCAAATTCATTTCATTCATTCATTGTAAGATTGATATATTGAATAACGTTATACGTTATTTCAAAATTAAAACACCCTGTGCTAGAAAATAAGCTTTAAAACCGTGCGCTTGCAAAAACGACCGCAGACCGAGTGAGGGCAAAATATATATTATAGTATAGCTCCCGTCTGTGGTAGTTAGCTATAATATAATATATATTTCCATATATTAATATATATTATAGCTACGTCAAGAGCTGTGCGTATTAACTCGTAGTTTCTATAGTATTTGCTATTAATAAAACACGTCCAATACGGTTGACTACCGTTACCGTTGAAGGTATAGTCACCTTAACCAAAACGTTGCCGCATGAATCCACATCGTAAGTTGCGATGCGATATCGCATCGCATTTTATCTCAGTTTTGTGTGGGAGCCCTAAACATTCAGCCAGAAAAAGTGCATGCAGTAAGATTAAATATTGCAGTCGATTTAGTCAGTTGCTGTTTCGTGCAGTAACAGCAGCGCAACACTAACGTTTTTGACACTTGAGACTTGACAGACATAACAGTCAGTAAATTTTGGCTTTTCTTATTTTCCAAAAATGAATTCATAAATTTTCCAATCATGTAAAATTCAACATGTTTGTTATAAGGAGTGTGACCATTTTTGTTATCAAATAGTAACAAGTTGGATTCTTCACTCGTATTTTGGTATGTTTACTAATGGTAGATAAAGTTTCATTGCGCGTGGCGTATTCGTGTTCCTTATCATGATAATTGTTTGCTTCGAGTGAACTTCGAATGCCCTCGCGCTCGACCTCCTAGTTCCCCGTCCCGCTTATCATTATCAGCGTAAATATAATGAGAAGAAATGTTTTACTTGTTCAGATATCGTCGCGCATTCACGGACGGTGTATCGACTTTGAGTGATTTTGTTCATTAGTTTATGAACTTTTTAGTTTTAAAGTTATAGTATCGTTGTTTAAAAGTTTGCAAGTGTTAGTTTTTTATCGTTTGTGATTTTCTCTTCCATCCTGCATCCAAGAGGAGGAATGCCAAGTGACTGTCGTGACTGTTTGGGTATTCGTTATCGAATTAACTCCCTGCACCAAACTTGGAAGTGGCTGCATCAGACAATCGCTCTTCACGAATATCTGATCTCCCTCTCTTCGGCTGACACTGATGCCTGTTACTGTGTGAAGCATTAGAGAACTATTGAATTACAAGTATTTGGACTTCTGTTTGTATATAGTTTTAAGTAGAATAATCAAATTCACGCTTAATATTAATAACTATAAATTTCATACAGAAAAGTTTCCGTTAACATAAACCTATACAACAGCTAAGATGGCTCAAACAATGATGAAGAAAGTTGTGGCTAGCAGTGCCTGTGTTGTGATTGGTATCACAAGGAGAACAAGTGCTCGAAGTCTTGCAGTTGCTGGCAAAAACTTATCTACCAATACGAAAGACCGTGTATTACCTGCAGAGGGGGAGATCACAAAGTCTGTATTCATGTCACAATCAACAGACATTTTTACTAACCTGGCATTAGAGGACTGGATGTATCGTAATATGGATTTCTCTAAACACCATGTGATGATGGTTTGGCGCAATGACCCATGCGTTGTCATTGGAAGGCATCAGAATCCTTGGCTAGAAGCCAATGTTCCTCTTCTGGTGGAAAAAGATATAGCACTGGCTAGACGTAACAGTGGAGGTGGCACTGTGTATCATGATAGGGGAAACCTCAACATTACCTTCTTCACACCTCGTGAGAGGTATGACAGAAACTACAATTTAGAGCTCATTAAGAGAGCATTGTTCAGAGGATTTGGAATCCAGTCTATCATTAATGAACGTCAAGATCTCCTTGTCAGAAATAAAAACAAAGTATCCTTTACAAAATTTTCTCATGTTTCTTATAATAATCTACCTTGGAAATTGTTGTATGAAAACATTTTTTATATCAAAATATTTTCCTTAGTATATACTGTCAGATTTCTGGTACAGCTTCAAGGCTTAGCAGGTTAACAGGATATCATCACTGCACACTTCTAGTCAATGCCAATAAATCTAATCTCAAGAGTGCTTTGGCGAAAAGAGAGGTGGGTATTATAAAACCTAATAGACAGGGTTGTAAATCATTTGTTTAATAACTGTTATATGCGAATTTATACACTCATTTATTCATCATTCCAGCATCTCTACACACATGTTGTTGTATCTGAACTTCAGTTAAAATTTCATTCCAGCCATAACAATTAGAATCATAATAAATATTGATCATATGTAGTTCTTTTTTTTACTTATGCAGTTATGTCAAAGATCACAAACAGTGATAAGTCATTGTTTATCAAAGTGCATAGCTGTTGGCATATGAATGCATTGTTGCTAGGCTGACTGTTCTATTTCCAATTGCTGCATAGTTATAAATAAAGAACAGGCTCTTTTATTTGTCCATTTAATAAACAATACAATTGATAGACTCAAAATAGTATGAATAAATAACTCGACATTTTGACAGATTAACAGCTTTGCAAGAGTGCAGTTTACTTATGAATTATTGCATTTATTGCATATTAAATACTGTCTAGATTTTTATTTTTTTCATGATATCATTGTGTTATGGATTGTCTGCAAAATATATTTCATACCAACAACCTATGAAACCAATTAAATATCAGCTTAGCATACTCATTAAGCCATTCTCAGATGATAATGGATGAATTCTCCCGGATATGAGTGCAGTTAATATATCAGAATCTATGAATTGTGCTTAACAATACTAATGCTCCTGTTGTGTTACTACCACTATAACCTTTCCTCTTCCCCCCATTTAAAAGTTAAGAACCTTCTTAATTCTATTTAGCATGGCATACAGACGAACGCGACGGCTTCTACCCCTTCGCCCGTGGCTAACCTGGTTGAGGTGAACAATCGAGTGACAGTGGACAGCCTCCAGACAGCTGTGGGATACGAGTACCTTCGCACACCCGCTCTGCACTTGGAAGACGGTGGCCAAAACATGATCTCCAAACAAAGAGGATTCCAGTTTGTCAACCCTACCGAAGATTGGTTCCCAGGTATGTAATGTTGGCAATTCTAATGACTATTCGTATTTTCTATTTGTCTATTTGACAGCGGTCTCTATTACCTGTAGAGCACGAAAAGGAGGTATTACGTACAAATGTACATAATATGAATAGCCATGTGAAATAATATCATAAGAAAAGAAAGTGCTTGCTTCCAAACCAAACCAAACCAGGGTGTCGATTCTGCTAAGTAATAATCCTGAATTAAAGGTGTTTTATTACTATATATTGTTTTAAACCTTCATGGTCACTAACATTATAGCTATTAACGGGATTGTTATCATGGACCTTGTTTTTTATGAGTCTCCGATATTTCGGCACTGTTGCAAACGCCATGATCACGGACTAACTGAAGTAATTGCGGGTAGATGTTATTGGCAGACATATCGGTCTACCCTCTGACGTTATCTTTTACTGCGCTCGATACCCCTACCACTGGTCACATTCTCACTATTCACTTGCAACAGCGCCAAAATATCGAAGACTCATAAAAACAAGGTACATGGTAACAATCCTGTTAATAGCTACAATGTTTAATTACTTTCAATTTTCGACAAGTTCTTATAAAATAAGTTATACTAAAACCCTTAATCTCCCTTAAAAGAGCATTACATGAATTAAAATAAGTAATAATAATACTTCATTCACAGAACCGTAAAGTTTTTGTGCAGCTCAATTAGCTCTTTTATAATGTTATTAACTATGTGACGGATTTGACGTTATCAAGGTTGTTATTTAAGTGCTGTCAATTAAAATATGAGTTAATAATTTATATTATAGTGAAATACAACAGCTTTATCAAGAGGGCAAAGTTTCATAAACTAATCAAATTATATCATCTTTTAACAAGAGCGGAATTTTACTGCGACATAACTTTTAGGAGATAAAGCTGTTCTTGTTTGAGGGGTTAAATGTTTCAACGGTTTAATTTTTGAACAGGTCTGACGCAACTTAAGAGTGAACTCCAAGGTTGGGATTGGTGTTTCGGAAGAACTCCTGACTTCAGTGTCAGTCGCACTTTCCCCGTGCCTTCGGAGCTGCTCGCTCCGTCCAAGGTCTACGCTGCGACGCAGGAGCTGGCCATAAACATGACCGTAGTCAAGGGTCTCATTGATGACGTCACTCTCAACATCCCCCCTGGACTCGTCGAATCCGGCTTCCACGGCGAAGCCTCAGTTATCACACACCTGAAAGGCAAAAGATTCACGTCCGAAGCCCTGACTGCGCTTCAAGAAGCCATGTTGACTCGCCATTTGCCCAGTGACAGAAAGTTGGATGAGAAAGAACAGTTTGTCGCAAAGTGCTTTGATCAAGTTGTGAACACTGTATAGACAGTCTACGATTTAATTACACATGATTATAATCGTAAATGTGCTACATAATTAGTTTGATAAACTGTAGATTTTAAAAATTGTAAATTTTATCAGATTGTAAGGTATTATAATATTAACGATGTTGATTGTCGATTATATGTTTTGTATATAGAAAATGAACATTGAAAGTACTTACAGTTACATAAACGTAAATTGTAAAAATTTTGATGTGTGTAATTGTCGTGTCTGTTCCTTCTAACTTCTTTATTTACTGTCTATGGTAAGTATGTAAAGGTGTTTCGTTTAGTGCTTGTTTAATCCTTTTGCTTTACTGTGTTCTTTTAGTTTAGTATTATTTTAATTAACATTGTACGCTTAGAGCCTAATATAGCATTCACAAAGAGCAACATTTATTTAACCAACTCCTAGTAACATTCACTGTACTATTCGGAAATCAAAAATGTTTATTGCATTGCGGTCGTATAGCACTATTATTGCGATCTTCCACTGAATGCATATTATGTTATTAGTGTACAATACAATCCCGCGAGTCGCACATATACGTGCTGAACGCCACAAGAATGCATCATATCATTTGTTTTAATTAAATTATAATTTTTGTAACTGGAATTAATTTACTTATATATTACTTAGCGAACGTTTTATGTAGCATGTACCATTTAACGTAGAGCGATGTAGTCTAATAACCTGTGTAGGTACCATTTCATGAACACTCATTAGTTTTCACAAGATCTGCCCTCAACGGGAACTTTTTTGTGTGAAATGGATTTGTTTTCTTTTTATATAGTGATGCTAATTATGTTTAATGCTTGAGATCACATGTTTGTCATAATAACTAATAATAATTTGACTAATTTAACCAATTACTTTAATAATGTGTACTAATAATCAAATAATAGGAATATTGATTAATTGTAGAGCAAGCAAGTACTGAAATTAGGACGGTATTTTACCTAAATACATACTTTCTTAGTAAAGATTGTGTATTAGTTGATTCTATGTTATTGTTGTGTTGTATGTACATGTATGAATAAAGTTCATGACATTTATATAATATTTTGTTTATTTAATTCTTATATAACACGAACCTGTCATCTCATGGTTACTTATAATATCAAGGTAAAGGTTGTCTCATTTTATAACTGCAATAATAGGTACTGATTTAGCTTCAATAAAGTTAATCACGCGAGACGTACAGTGTTGACGAGCACAAAAAGTACTATTATTTCCTCTGAATGAAAACCAATGGCGGATTATTAGATGTATGCGTGTTTGTCCTCGCTTAACCGAAACTTGCTTGGTGCCCTGCTCTTCCTCTCGCTTTCCGAAGAGCCGAGGCGGTGGTCGACGAGCGGCGCGGCCGCAGCCAGTCTGCGTTTGTGCACTGAGGCGCGCGCGCACCGTGCGTCATATTGAATTTCCTCGCGTTGCCATGACAACCGCGTAAACAAACACGAAGTTTCCGAGTTCGTTGTAAGTTCGAAAAGTTCTTGCACTGAACTTTTTGTGTAGTGTTTGTAGATATTTGTATGTTATTGTTTAAAAACACAACAAGTGAGTAATATTTTATTAAGTAGTTAAGCTTAATAAGTCAAATTAAAATTATGTGTAGTTTTAATTACGAGCATCGTCTCCCATTAACTCTTCTTAAAATAATCTTATATATAAAATTCTCGTGTCACAATGTTAGTTACCGTACTCCTCCGAAACGGCCTGACCAATTTTTATGAAATTTAATATTGATATTCCGGGGGTCTGAGAATCGGCTACTATCTATTTTTCATATCCTTAAGTGTTAATGGTTGTCCACCTGTAACGTAGTGTCTGACCTACATTCTGAAATCTGAAATCAAACTATTGGGTTCTCATATGGGTTAGGAGGATTGTTATCCCAGGAAATTGATAGAACACTACGTTACACAACCCTAAAATTTTTTTGGACAATATTTATTTTTTTATAATGTGGTATTAATTAAAAAATACATACAACCCTAAATTTTCTCTTGTATCACCTGCCCCTATTTTTATGGCGTTACGAAGTTTGCTGGGTCAGCTAGTTACTTATATTATTTTGTGATTTGACTTAAAAATATAGTTGTACTAAAGAAAACTGAATAAAAACAACTGAAATGTTATTTTGGCATAGGACTTAACATAGGTACTTTATCAACAAACCAAAAAAACGTTTAAAGGCACTTGGCTACAGATGCTTGGTTAGAGCTTTATCCCGGTACCACATAAAACCTAAAAGATTTGATTAAAAATCAAGACGTAAAAAAACTTGGAATTTGTTGATAGAAATTATTTAGGTAGGCATATTATTTACTTGTAACTGGTAGGTACTGAGTCTCAATTTAATTTTAAAAGTATAGTCGTCAAAATGCTCTGTCGATCAAGCACAACGACACTAACAACTTTAAGTAGGTAAGCGGGCCGTAAGTGGCCCAGCCTAGAGTTAGGGGCCTCTAACAGGTACCTAGGTATTAATGAGCAATTAAGCTTAAATAAAAATATTTAAATTTTTGTACCTACATAAAGTTCCTCTAAGTACCCAATTTACTATTAGGTTCTATAATTCATGAACTTCAATTTTCTTTTCGTAAGATTTTTACCCTTATCAGATAGGAGAAAAAGTACAGCTTTGCTGACTAGGTGTAGGTAAAACTTAGTTTAAGCAAAGCCGTACTTTTTCAAAATTAATCAAATTTGGTAACGCTGGGTATATATAGATACAAGGTAAGGTTAATATTTCTTATCTAAAACTGATTACCTTAGTAACATAAAAAACAAAATTCAGCGGCATTTCAATAAAAAATTACTCATTGAGGGTCACGAGTCGACTAAGTAGGCAAGTGTTTTGATTTTTAAGCAAGTAAGTTTGAAGATAGAAAATTTGTTTATGCACTTATATTGCAATAAAACCTTGCTCTGACCTTTTTCAAACATCTTGAAATACTTAAAAAAAAAGGCCGGTTAATTGCCATTAACTAGGTACCTTTGTGGTATTTTGAACATCTGAAACATTTTGTTATAGGTAGGACGATTGCCCGGAAACAGTAGTGACAGGTTGCCTTTATACCGCTTATCCTAGAAAACATATTTCCGAATTTGCTCCATGTTCCCTTGGTAAAATAGTAAATTTAACAATTTAAGTTAACACCCGTTGTATGGAAGGCTAAAATACTTACCTATGTGTCATTTAAACCTAGGATGATGTCCTGTTGGTACCTAGTAAACGCATATTTTACGCGTTACACCGAGAAAAGTTGTGTTGTATGTGTGTTTTGTAAGAATTCTTTATAATCAAAAAGTGGTATATGTATAGGTATCATGTAAGTAATAGAATAAAACGGGCAAGTGCAAGTTGGATTGCCACACGTTTTTCCTAAGCACCTACATAATACACATTAAAAGCCAGTTTTTGCTATGGCAATGTTTTAAATTTTATTTTTATTTTAAATTGTTAAATTGGCAATGGAAATAAACGTTTTAAGACAATTTCAAGTATCTACCCGTTACGGTTCATGTGATTGGTTCGCTTAAAGACGGAAAGACAGACATCGGTAAAACTAAGTACCACATATTTTTTCTATTATTATTAGCTAAAGCTCAGTCAGGGCTTTTGTATGTTCCTTGTTTTGTTCAATTCTTCATTCATTTTGCATAATGACCTTAGTACAGACGTTTGGAGAGATCACCTTCATATTTTAAGTAAGTAGATGACTACTAAATAAAAGAAACCCACACACAACAAGTAAGTACCTTACTCATCAATACAATATAGGTATATTTATTATAAAGATAGACCGTGTCAATACTGTCTCTTAAAAGTAAGTAATACTTAGAAGATTTAGAAGTGGAGTGATACTCCGCAAGCATCTAATAATAAGCACCCTTTATAGATAAATAAAGGGATTAACCTATTTTGTTAGAATAAAATTAAGACAAATCAGCTTGCATTTTTGATCGGTTCTTATTACTAAAGTATACATGTTCGTTGGATTTTCCGTGTTGAAAAAAAACATCTTTACATACCTAGATCAATCGATAGCTTTTTGCTAGCATGAAGGTTAGCGGTTAACAAAAACTGTAGAATACTCTAAATGTATGTTACGAGGTCTATTAGGTGCCTCGGATAATTTAATGTTAAGATATAAGTAGTGAACAAAAGCTTAGTTACTTATTAATCATATTATTTCTGCAAATACTCAGGGGCAATGTTGAGCTAACGTAATGTAATTTAAGCTTAATAAAGCTCTTTCTGAAGCTAGATTTTAGAACATTTAAAATGCATTTTACAAGGAATAGGCATATCATTTAGAATTAGAATTAATCAAGGCACAAAAAAATTTGCACGCAAAGGATAGTTTATTTCAAAAATAAATACTAAAAAACACCAAATCAATCTAAAATCAATCAAAAAACAAATTAATCTAAGATACACAATAGCTTGAAACAAACGATTGTAGAAATGTTATTATATATGCAATCACAGATAGGGGGCTTCCTTAATTTTTAGGAAAAATACAGAATATAAGGTTCTCTAGATACTGAATAATAAAACAGTGAACATAGCTGAAGAGCTATGTTCACTCTCTCCGGACGAAGGTCCGGAGTTACAATTCATATTTTTTACGAGGTGAATGATTGACGCAAAAAACATTGGTAAATCGGAACCTGTGCAATTATCTATTACATTTAGTATTGCAGCGATTATGTTACTTAAATTAAGTCGATCAATGTTTTGTACTGCCTGTACCTTCCATTTTACGGTAATTAAGTTTTCACGTCAAAACTACTAAAAATTGGCGTCCTATACAAAATTCGACCCCCATTTGCACTCCTGTTAAAGGATGATTTCTTTCCTGGGACTTCAACTATCTGGGCGATTTTAATGCGCATATATGTATAATGGTTCAGATGACGTAGGTACCACCGATCACGCTGGAAGAGCTGCTTGGAATTTTGCCCTGATGTATGGTTAAGCTCAATTAGTGTCTCTCTCCAACTTAAATATCCAATGTCGAAAATCATACCGCCTCCATTCTGGATCTTCTGTTGACTACGCACCAGACTGTTATCCGATATCCGTCGATGCTCCTCTAGGCATTCTAGGATCATCGGACTATTGTGCGTTCGGAAGTGCCTCTTACCGAGAATCCTCGTCCTACATGGTTTCGCAAAGTTTTTGCTTCGCTCCTATGATATGACGGTCTCTCTTAGCTATGATATGAAGGTCTTCAAAAGACGGGTGAACCATTTCCTTCAGAGCCGGCAACACATGAGGTACCGTACCCTTGGTGCTGCGTGTGTCAATGGGCAGTAGTGACCACTTACCATCAGGTGAACTGCCAGCTCGTTTGCCTGCATATACATAAAAAATAACTTTATATCAAATTTTATCTAAATCGGTTCAGCAGTTAACTGACAGACAGACATACTTCCGCATTTTTAATATTAGTATGAAAGTATGGATAAAACAACGTCGCTAGTCATAGCTGTACCTATACCACGATCAGATCTTTTAAACTACGTAACGGATTTTAATACAGTTTCAATAATAATTTAGCAATAGATTGAGAGATTCAAGAGGAAAGATTATATGCAGGTACAATAAGATTCAAATCTTCGGGTATAATACATGCATGTTACGGTACAGGAAAGCCAAGAAATTCAAAGTTTTTCTTGAAATTAGGTCTCTAGCTATGAAATTTCCGTTTTTCATAAAATAAGTTTACGCCCTTTTTTCTATTTTTACTCTTGCAATCTATGCATTTTTGCCAACGTGGTGGTAGCTTACAGATGCCCTTTAAAAAAGTCTGTGCTGGACGGGAGGCAACAAATTCTTCAAAGGCATTTTCAACTGCCTGTCGGTTTGAATTTTTTGAATTTTTCCCCCACTAAGAAGTCAGTCGGGGCAGCGGAGCCGAACGATTGACCAAAATTGGATTCGAGATGTGCGAGCTTCTCCATCATTGTGTTCAGTTCTTCGCAGTACACATCTGCAGTATTGCACATCCCGTTTGTTAAGAAGCTGTGATGAATGACACCGGTGCTTGATCACCTAACAGTGACCATCACTTTTTATCTGGGGCA